CAGAGGCCTGGAAGATCCAAGACTGACCAGGCGTCAGTGGCTGTTATCTTCCGTAGACAGTCTTCCAAATCCTACACACTATAACCTGTCTAGAATCATTAGGTATATCCCGCCTAGAGTTAGGAGGGTGGCGATGAAGATGACTAAAGTTCCTTCCCAGACAACTGTCCACTATTTTGTTATAAACGTCAGAGGAACTCTTCTGTTAGGAAATGATAGGAAATCACTCCCTGCCCAGAGCCTCAAGGTACAGCTATTAAATTTCATTCATAAACCAGGGTGGCCCATCCCCACTGCTGCACGGTGTAGCTGTACCTGAAACAATGTTATCTGCTTCTGAAAACCCCTTCTTGAGGTTTCCATTCTCAATCTTCACCTCAGGTCCATAGAATGAGTTGTGTTTTATAGCATCCTAAGGATCAAAAAGAAGTCGGTGACTTGACTTTCAGAGGGAGGAAGGTGGTTTCCAAATGGGGGAAGAGAAGCTCCATGAATTGTCGCCTCTCTTTTCCCACTTAGGCGTCTCTACACGCATCTTATACAGACTTAAAGTGAGCTCACTTGCAGCCCAGAAAGTCATATTCCTCCATTTCCTCAGACCAAGTTGGACAACCTTGCATCTTGAGGAAAAGCAAAGAACCCTCATGGAACCAACTGGAGCTGAAACTGGGAAGGAAGACCTCAGTGTGGCCATCAGTAGACCGAGCCTAGGATCACGATGGGAAAGTTTTCATATAATCACACCATCCCAGGACTGGAAGAGACTTTAAAACCTATCTAGTCAAATTCCACCTGTTGCTCGAATTGCTCTAGAGGATGCTAATCATGGTGTCTCAAAAGACAGGGAGCTCACCCCTCTCTACATGCAGCCCACTCATTCTCAGTTACCTCGATGGTGATAATGGCTGGAAGGTCTTCATAGGTGATTTTCACCCCTTGAGCAGCTCTCTGTGCATGTTCTCGGGTGTCGGTGACCACAGCCCCAATGATGTGCCCAACACAAGTTACCTAGGAGCAGAGCCAGACTGTTGAAGAACATCATCACCAAGTTCCTCATGAAGCCAATTATTTTGAATTGTTAAAAAAAGGCAAAGGAAATCCCTGTCCCCACAATTTCCTGTTAAGGCACACTTTAGGGATTCCCTGTAGCCTTGTCATTTCTTTCTCCTCCTATTTGGGGACAAGTGCTTCTTCATAAGTGTTTAGAATCAGTAGAACTGGAATGGGACTTAGAGATGAGTAGTATCAGGGTGTCAAGCTTGCTTCATCTCAAGGGCCAATTCTGATAATTTAGTACTGGCAGCCTGTTCAGAAGCTGCCCAGGATTCAATGTAGTGATTGATTAGTAATGTCTGCCATGAGCAGCACAATGGGAGGTATGGCAGCATGAAGTGGTCAACTCAGATCTACCCCAACACCCTTGTTCTTCATATGAACAGATAGAGACATAGATGTCAAGGTCACAACTGCCTTACTAGACCATGATTAAAACTTAGGCTCTGACTCCCAGTTTCATTTTCTTTCTACTACTCCACTTTCTTCTATCTTCTGTGTCCCAGATTTATACCACAAGATTGTCAAAGACAGCAATCATGTCTTATATTCATCTAGATGTTCAGAGGCAGTAGTTCCCAAATGCTTGTTCTTAAACTTGATGACTCATAAACTAGTTTTTTGGTTAGATTTATAGAATAATGATTGCTGTTTACTTTTCATTTAATAATTCAGTTCTTACGAATCTGAACGAATCTCCTTCAGAGATAACTTTCTTCCCACATCTCCCCAAAAATGAATAACAAAAAAACGTATCCAACTTGGAATATGAGGTTTCTGACAATAGGAACCAATACCTAGCATGCCTGTTTGTGATCATTTTTTTTGAGGACTCAGTTAAGTTGTTGACTTAATTAATTGGTTAGTGTGTAGGTTATTGAACTTGAATGATTCTCACTAACCATAATGCTAGCAAAGCTCCCAGGGGCTCTTGAAGTTTGTAAAGCAATTTTTTCTTTTATCAAATGCTCTCCTTTTGGAGTTCTTGTATCTTGAGGCTGTACTTTTTCATTCTCTCCCTCACTTTTACATCACTAATAAGGTAAATTTGCCCTCAGTAACACCAACCCACTTCTAATTTGCAACATTTGATCTGTATTAGAATTATAAAGTGATTGTCTGAGAACTATTCTATAAGTATACAGATTTTTGTAGCAGCTGTCTTAAATGTTAGGAAGGTTGTTTTGGTGGGGGTGGGAGCAGAATATCTATTTAGTGGAAATCAATAGATGAACTTTCATAAAAGTGAATTATCAATACACTCATATTGATGATATTGTGATATCTATTTTGGTTAGCTTGTTTAATGTATTTTTATTTTAATAAAGGAGCCTAAGGTTGCACCCTTAAGAACCTTAAGAACCTGATTGTAGTACAGACACAATCACCATCCTTTTCTTAATGCCTCTTTGGCATGGAGTCATCCTTCTATGTACAAACACGAACCATCAATTAAATTAACATGTAAACACTAGGTTAAAATTAAAAGTGCTACCAGGCATATTGCATCTCTTTCCTGACTGTCCTGAATAGTGGATGATGGCCACAGTCTGTGCAAATGTACAATCCTGTCAAGATTAAGGGTTTAAAGGAATGAGCACAAATTAAAACTTAAATGCCCATTCCATTAACTTCATATTTTAAAAATCCAAGAAATACCTTATCTTTTGCAAAGACGGTTTCATCATTAGAAAGTCCAGTTTCGTTACTCCCAGGAACATCATCAGCGGAGATAAAGCAAACAAATCCCGGCACCTTCTGAGCTTCTGAAGTATCAATGGACCTAGAAGAACGAGCAGTGTGAGGAGCCAGGCAGCGAAACTGAAGTGGAAGACCTGTCACCCAACTGGATAACCCTGTCCTCATTTTGACAGTTTTTCCTTCTTCCTAATTCCTACCTTCTCTACATCTACTCTACTCTACTCTACTCTACTCTATTCCATCCCATCCCATCCCATCCCATCACATCCCATCCCATCCCATCCCATTCCATTCCATTCCATTTCATTATATTGTATTAAAATGTTGATTAAATGCTTACCATGTGAAGACCATATGCTGAGCCCTGCTGGAGATATCAGATGAATAGGACAGGCCCGCCCTCACTGACCTAATACTATTCCCTGGGTCAGAGTACCAGGGAGCCAAATCATAGTGAACAGCATTTCTAAATGCTCGCTAAAACCTACATCACCACTAATCTCCATTCAGAATCAGCACTTTAGGACCACTGATACACTGTTCATCTAATGGCCCTGAACATCATCACATTGCCAAATTTCTCTCCCCACATTCACGGAGCTATCTCAGAATGACAAGGGACCCTGGCCATAATTAGGCAATTCAGGCCTCAAAGGGAGAATGCCTGGAGAGTTTAATTAAAACAGTCTGAGCTATGCACCACTCACTCTGGCCCACACCCCTGTGGGAAAATGGAGCAGAGGCACCTCAGAGAAAGGTGTGGAAACCGCACTGAAGTACCAACCAACTGTCAAACAGTTAATCCTCGCCAGAGCCCCCAGAAAGTCATTGTCATTATCCCCACTTTACATTTGGGGAAACTCAAGCTCAAGGGATTAAAATACCTTGTCCAAAGTCACCCAGCCAGAGAGCAGCATAGCTGGAGTTAAGACTGAGGTTAAGTCATGAAGAATGCCCAAGTCAGGTCCACTTCTGCTGCACCACACTCCCTCCAATGCATGCAGCCTGGAAAGCCCTGATCGGGGCAGTTGCTACAAAGTCCCTCTAACCCCACCCTCCTTCCATGCAATCATCTAAGACATTTCAGACACCGCTTGGATGGAGTAAAGTTCTTTGAGTGTAGACACTGCAGGCCATGGTGCCACCAATCAGGGCTCAGACAAGGACAAAGGGAAACGAATGTACCCCACCGCCTGCAACCATATCATCTTAAACATTTTTTTCAGGGACCTGGAAGAGTTTCACCACTCCTGGAGCCTTTCTCCAGGCTAGAAGCAGCCACAAGGAAAGACCAATGACAAGGCAACCTGATCCCTAATCCACGCAGGAGCAGGGCCTAGGGAGGGTACTCTTAGCCATTGGGCTCAGCAGGATTTGTGTCTAATGCCCACCAGGAAACAAAGTCCACAGTCTCTGGCCTGAACATCCAGAAGCATCACTGCCCAGCTGCTAATGCTGCCTGGCTTCAAACTCCAGCTCTGCCACTTACCAAATGTGTGACCTAGAGTAAGAAACTTACCCTATTTGTACCTCGGTTTCCCCATCTGGAACATGGGGATAACAATAAGACCTGCCTATAGGGTTCTTATGAGAAATAAATGAGCCAATGTATGTAAGATAGTTTAAACTAGAGTGTGGCAAATATTAAGTGCCATATGAGCATTAGGTTATTATTGTTTTTATTATTGTTGTTATTATTAATATTATTATTATTATTACAGCAGTGGTATTCTTGCCGTTCAGTCTCTCGAAGTTCAACAAACAGGTACGAGTGGCTATTCTCTGATAGGTCCTTTGTGGACATTATCACTAACCCTTCAAAAACATCCTATTACATATGGGAAAACCGAGAGCTTAAACACACCGGCCAGTGTTTACCATTGCTAAACACTGGTGCAGGGATTCAATCCCAGGTCTGTCAGACTGTAAGGCCACATTCTTTTCTTCAATGCTGACTCAAGTTCTCCTGAAATTTTGCATTGAACTTTAGACCAATATCGAAAGTGCAGACCAAAGCTAGTCCCATTAAAGCCCTTTCAGGAGCTCCTCATTGCTTTTTGGGCCAAGTATAATCTACATGTTCAGCACTCCAAGGATTTGCTAATCGGGCCCCTGCCTACCTCTGCACGTCATCCCTTCACCCTCCCAGGCACCCCTAAGTCTCTAACACCTCCTGTTTCTCTCCAGACTGTGGTTTAAGATGATCTCCATCTTTCCCTCTAGACTGGGAGGGGTGCACCCCCAGTGCCTGGCATGGTGCTCCCAGAGCCCTCCCTCTGAGTGTAGTCACTACACTTACTTGATCTTGGCATGGGCCTGGGTGCTGGTGACCAGCCGGAGGTACAGTTCATTATCATAGCGAGGCATGTCATCACAGTACACGGCCTCCCCAGAGGCCTGTATGCGGGCAGACAGGTGGGGCAGGGGCCGGCCCACGGTTTCCTCTTCAGAGTGACACTTGGGCACCTCCTAGAAAAACATGGTTATCAGTCAGGCTGAGCTGTGGAGGATCCTGCTCTCCTACAGGCCCAAGGAAACTGTGGAGAGATACAGGCCTGATGGCAAAGCAAACCTGAGGGAGTGAAAATAAAGGAGGCAGAGGGGAATGGGTGAAGGAAACAGAAAGGCACATAAGTAATCGAGGAGGGTGGTCATAGTGTCACCATATACAGAAATAACAACAACAAAAAGAAGAACCTAAATGTCCTTCACAGGAGATTGGGTCAATAAATTATGCTACACTCACACAGTGAAATGAATATACAACCATAAACATATATTTTTGAAGAATTTTAATTAGAGGAATGGGAGCTCATGTTAAGTGTAACACAGGACATGAAACGTGTGTGTGTGTGTATATATATATAATGATTTGAATTTCTTATGAAAACAATATATGCTATAAATATAGTACATACATGTTCCTATAGGGATAAAAATGGAAAGTAAAGAAAAATAAAATAATTTTCCTCTTGGAATTTTGCAGACTTGGGGTGATTTTTATTTTCTTTACACTTTTCTCTATTTTCCAAAATGTTCTAACATGTATTCATTTTGTAATAAAAATCATTTTATGTGTTATTCAAAGTAATAATGATAATGGCTTATATTTATTGACTGTTTACTATGTACCAGGAAATATCTATGCTACTTAGTTTTACTGACACATTTCATGCTCAAAACTGTCCAATGAGACAGAGGCCTTCATTATTTATATTGTGGACATAATTTACTTGCCCAAGAGGCACAGAGAAGATAAGGAAGTTGTGAAATGGCAGAGTTTGGATTCAAGTCTCGGCAATCGGGGCCACAGTTCATGCAATGGACCACTGCTCTCTAAGGCAGAGGTGAATGAATTGTAGCTCATGGGCCAAATCTGACCCACTGCCTGTTTCTATAAATAAAGTCTTATTGGAAGACAACACATTCATTTACTTATTACCTCTGGCTGCTTTTGTGCTACAATGACAGAGTTGAGTTGTTGCTACAGAGGCTATATATATGGCGCACAAAATCCAAAATATTCATAGGAAAAACTGACCCTATACCTAGTGCCTCTACAAAAGTTTCTATTGATAGAAAGTTGTTTTTGTTTTGTTTTGCTTTGTTTTATTTTGTTTTGTTTTGTTTTCTTTACATGCTCAAGAGGGCAACAGACATTAATACCAATGAGGAGACAAAAAATGGGGGGTGGGGGGAAGGGTTCTTTTTTTCTTTAAGGAACAGGTGAAGACGAGAGTAATCCCAGCAGAGAAATTTAGGTGAATAAGCAGATAAATAGCTTCATTGACAGTACCATCACTCCAATTTTCTTCACTGGATACTTATGCACAGCAGTAAGGAGCTTCAAGCACCACATACAATTCAAGTAGGTCATTCACTAATGGTCAGCATCACCTGATATGGTCTGCAAGGGCCCCTGATATTAGCCATGTACAGTTGATACTCACTTGGAAGATCTGGACATTAGCTGGAGGGTCTTTCTGAAGGAGTAAAGTGGCGCTGGCAAAGGTGGGGTCCAGTCTACCAACCTTCTGTGGAGGTAAAATAACAGAGGTGATCATGACTATCTCTATCATTGATTCCATCCTTGGTTATCCCAAACTGGTAAAAATAACAACTGCTTCCCTCATCTCCCCGTTTTATACTCTTTCTAGTACTGAATGGATCTACCTCAACATCTGAACGTGGGCTCTGAGAGTTCAGTATTTCACCATTGCCTCAGCTTCCTCCCACCCCTGAACTCTGCATAATGAAGGTACGTAGTTCCTCCAACACAGCACACGCTTCCCTCCTTCCTGCATTAATGCATTCTGCTCCCTCTGTTGAGAATATCCTTTTCCCCAGCCTTCCTAGAAAAGTCTTCCTTTGCTGTGGAAAATATTTAAGGATATAGAAATGTTCACAATATAATCTCAATGAAACCAAGGGACACATAAAACTCTATATATAGCATGACCCCAAATATATTTGAAAGCGATATATCAGATCAAAAGGAAGGAAGATGGTGATATATCAATGGATGGAAGGAAGGACAAAGAGAGAGAGAGAGAGAGAGAGAGAGAGAGAGAGAGAGAGAGAGAGAGAGAGAGAGAATGAACAGAGTGACAGACAGGTGGGCAAATAAATGTAAGAAAAAGATCAGATGAATAAGCAAAAATATTAGCCCTGGTTTTCTCTAGGACCTGAGAGCAGAATCACTTAAAAATTTTTTATACAATTCTGTATTTTTTAAGTTTTCCACAATAAGTTCTACTACTTTTATATTCAGAAAATAAGAAGAATTGTGAATGTTTTCAAATAGGTATTTTGCCCTGCAGTCCCCCACACCTGTGAAGCCTTCTCTCCCTTGGCTCTTCAAGGCTCCATCTCCTCAGCTGTCACCCTAGACTGCGCCTTTTGACCATGTTTTCTCCTACACTAGGGCGCCCCCTAGTGCCTGCTGCGATCTTACCATATAAAAGGTGCAAAATAACAGCTTGTTGGTGAGCCAACCTCAGGAGCTGGGCTGCACCTCAGCCAGCACCTTCTCCTGAATATACATCTTTGTAGTGAGCACATCCCCGCTGGCTGTAGCAGCCTCACCTTACATTTCCATCACACTCGACATTTCCATTCTAACTCTAAAACCGCGGTCGCATCAGCTACACCGCTGAAGGATCATTCCATCTACGCTCCTCCCCCTTTGGCAGATTTTATAGCTGCGGCTTAGAGGGAGTCGAGAGCTATTCAAGTTCTCCCGTGAGGTAATGACACAGCGAAGACAAGAACCCACATCCTGACTCCCAGCCCAGTGCTCTGCCTCTCAGCCACGCAGTTGGCTCCCATCTCTGCGTGGCGTCCTGGGCTGTGTCCCTCATCCTTGCATCTCTCTGTCCTGGGTTGTCCAGAGGAAGAAGTAAGTTTCCCACCTGGTCCACAGCACTCTCTCACCCAGACCAAGTCCCGAAACAAAAGTGCTGCAGAGAGTCTGTGCCTTGCCCAGACCCCCTACACTTACGTCTTCTGAGTCCTGCTGGCCCAGCTTCTGAAGCACCGTCAGGTAGAACTTGAAGAAGAAGCTGAGGGTGAGTGTGCGTCGGAACTCCACCATGCCACCAGGGGCGTCGGGCGACAGCTGCAGCTCCTCTGCCAGCCCTGCACACACCTCCTGCAGCAGCTTCTCATTCCAGAAACTGTCAGAGAGCAGGTTGTAGGCGAGCGCTCCTCTCCAGCCCTCAGAATCATTTGTGCGGAGCGGTATGCATGAGGTCTCAGGCTCGAATGAACCTCGGTTCAGAATTTGGCTCAGATACTTATAGTTTTGTGACATTAGGCAAGTTACCTAACATTTCGGCCTCAGTTTCCTCATCTTTAAAAATAGATACAATTTTAAAAGACCACAAAAAGTAGGAGTAAAATCTATTGAGCCCTTACAATGTTCCAAGTGCTTTATATGAAACATCATTTTTAATTTAAATCATAAAGTGTAGTCAGAAAAAAAATTTATACTCATTTTACCAGTGAGAAAACTGAGACATGGTTGACTTATATTGCCTTCTGGCAAGTGTTGGAGCCAGGAATTAGAACCAAGGAGCCAAACTCTGAAGTGAAGCTTTCTTCTACGAATATGGTTATTGTAAGCATTACATACGACAGTACCAGTGAAGTGCTCGGTACATTTGCTGCCATATAGTAGTCATAGTATTAGTAGTAGCCACAGTAATAATGTAGCAGTAATAATAGCAGTACTAGCAATAGCAATAGTAGTAATGGAAGCAACAATACTACTAGTAGTAATTCTAGTAGTGGCAGATACAGTATTACTAGTAGTAGTAGAATCAAAGATAGTAGTATTAATAGCAGTAGTAGAAGTAGTAGTAGTAGTAGTAGATAAAACAGTGGTAGCAATGGTAAAAGTGCCAGTAATACTACTAGTAGTAGTAGTAGCACTAGAGCAAGAGCAATTGCAGTGATACTATTAGCAGTAATGGTAGTAGTAGGAGCAGCAGTATTAGTAGCAATTGTAATAATAGTTGAAGCTGCATATTAATAGTCATAGCAGTAGTAACAGTAGCAGCAGCAGTGATAGTGGTATAGCAGCAGCAATACTGTTAGTTGCATAACTACTAACAACAGCAGTAATGGTGGTAGTAGTAGTAGTAACCATGATAATAGCACTAGCAATAGTGGTAGTAGCAGCAATACTAATACTACTAGTAGTCACAGTAGTAGTAGCAGCAGCAGTAATATGGTAGTTGTAGCAGCGGCAGCAGTTTTATTTTGCAGTGAGCTCTTACTGTGACAGCTGCTTCCGAGTGGTCTTGAAGGCTGAGATGGTTCTGTCAGCCATTCCGCCATAGCAAAGAGCCAGCTCCTTTACCTGTGTGGTTCCTGGCTCGAATAGGACTCTCATGCCGCAGGTCACCTTGGCTATGTCATCTTCTCTCCGAGAGGTCTGCTTAAATGCTGAGAAAAACTCACCCTGAAAAAGAACAGAAAGGTACCTGTTTCCACCCTGTTTGTAGGACTGCAGATGGTGAACCTGAATAACAGGGATATGAGGTGATGTGAGAAGATAATACCATTGCATATTAGCAAGGAGCTGGTG